TCGGTTATACGTGTGAGTGCTGAAAGCTATGGTAAGTATACCATGAAAAGCTGAGTTGGAATGAAATGGTGCCCCGGTAGCGTAACTGGTAGCGCACTTGCCCGGAAAGCGAGAGGTGCGGGTTCGAGTCCCGCCTGGGGCGAAAGTTTTGTTCACAACCCAGCATTCTTGTGAAACGTTTGGATAGTACTCGATTTATCACACACCCCATATCGCCCACTTTTTCCCTCGTCGGACGGGGCAACTCCACGGGGAGGAGGCCAAAAAAGTCATTGTGTGATTGGTGCATATCAGCAAATTTTTCCTCGCAGTGGGTGCAGCCGTTGATGAAAGTTTTACAGTCGATATCCGAAAAGTTGGGGTAGGCGTGTCACCGGAAGTGACGTGCACTTGATAGAAGTTGCGTGGATAAGCTGTTGCCAGCATGCTTTGCTGATATCAGCGATGTATGTTGGAAGCAGCTTATCCACATAGCTTCTATCAAGTGCACGTCACTTCCGGTGACACGCCCACCCCAACTTTCGGATATCGAGTATAAGCTAAAAAGAGTAAAAATTAATAATAAATATATGTGTATGTGCAGCTGAAAATTTCTTTACTGCAGCGCTATTGATGTGATTCAATAACACAAGTGATAAATGAAAAAGTTGCACAAAAGAAAACTATACAAAGTCTTCGAATTAATTTTATTCGTGAGTACATACATGCAGTTGCAATTATGTTCATATTTTCCATTATAATTAATTCATGACTCTGACTGTGGCAGACAAAGTGTTTTCCGCACAAGGTTATCGGCAATTTTCTCGAATTGTTGTCGATCCTCACGCCACATTTTTGCAGCGTTGACGTTAGCTGGAGACTCGTCATTCGGCTCTACAAGAAAGATCCTCGGAGCATACATGACAAAATCTAGTCAAATAAAGTAAAACACACCAGCAAGCATGCTGACAACGCTTAGCAGAATCTTTTCAATTGACTGAACAGGACTCCATCTAAATTAAGTGTAATAAATCCTCTGATATACTGTAGATTGTTACTGGTATGTCATTCGAAAAAAGTAAGTTGGATGACTGCTGTTACATGTACGACCTGGCAGATTACTGTGCCAGTCATCGACACTTCGTTCACACCATGCACCGAACGCACATTGGCAATGCGAAAGCGATTTCGAGTCAAAACCGTAAATACATACCTCTCAGATGAGCTTTCGTACCCAGTTGGATCGTCACCAGGAGCGTGCAGAATTGAAATACACACTCTGCCGTCTTGATAAATATTGGGATGAAAGAGCTCACAAGTGAACCTGTACAAAAAGGAAGTAAATGCGCAAAATAACTATGTAGGAGCACATATCCTACGTCGTGAATCAAGCCTTACCTCATTTTGGGAGGACTGAGAGGATAATCCTGTGGAAACGAGATCCGCGCAGGGAATACACCATTAGCAAAGCATGTGTCCTCTGGACCAGTGATAAGACATTCCCATTCGAAAAAATTATCCTTCTTCAAGTGGTGCTGCGAGAATCCCCTCAGGGGGTCTATTCGTCAACTCTGAAAGCAGTGTTAATGGTTGACGCATAACCTCAGACCTTCAGAACAAATCACTGATTCAGACCTTGATCTGAACAGGAAGACACTCCTGCGCTTTGGTGACAGATTTGTTTTTTGATTAGGAAGGTATGATGATGAAAAGCATCCCTAAAAGCCTATGGTCCGACTTCACCTCACAACTTCACGCTCTGCTTCGGGAAAACTCATTTCTGAAGCCTATGTTGTTGATAGGGCGAAAGTAAATGTAGTGGCAAGTGGCACGCTTACCATACGCGCAGTCCAGGGATCGAATCCTGATCGTGCTTCGTGCGGGCCAACCAGATCTTCCATTCCTCCGGGGTCGGCTAAGTGGTACCAGACTTGTCCGCGAGGACAAAAACTTTAACTTGTAAATCGGCTGGCGCCGCAACGCAGTTATAGGCCACAACCATTCAAATACGCCACAAGATATAACATAAATGGAAGTAGAATGCGTGCCGCATCCGAAGAAGGGATTGATCAACGGCAAAGGCTTTATCCGTTTTTCTTTATGTTGTTGATACGATACCATCAACGTAGATATTTTCTTGAACTTACCCCTTCTGAATTGTCCCAATCGCTCGTTGAATTAACTCGAAAGCTCACTAGAATCTCAAAAGAACAAAGAGTTAGCGAAAGCAAATTCGCAGAGAAACTTCTCGCCACTTCTGTACTCCATCTATTTACATCCTTGACAGCAGCCAGGTGCGATAAGTATGCATCAAAATTTTGCTTAGTTAGTGAAACGCAGAATCGTTAGGTTTCCACAATCCCTCAAGAACACGCACACAAGTGTTTCCAACCTGCTCAATCGACTCAAGTCAAGCATTTCTCACCTTTATACTCGGTCATCAATCGTTTGAGCGCATAATCCTGCCATTCTGGAAGTATAGTTAGCATTTTTGACTGCCACCAATTCATTCAAACTTATTTTTCAGATATAGAGCTCTTAGATATAGACAGAGCGTTTACTCATACCACCCCAATCACTTTACAGATACAGGTACAACTTACGACACCGGAACATACACATTCAGACGACTAGAACATCAAACCTATCACAACTACACTACAGTGCACCGAGAAACATGAGAATTGGACTTCTCATTTTGGGTACAACAACGCAAGTACATTAGCTGTTTGCCGTCATACGAACATGCACAATATTAGAGAATCACTAAAACTTGTAGCTTACATTAAAAACCGGTGTACGGTACTAAAAACTGACAACTACCAGTAAGCGTAGCGATGCTAATGAACTAGTAAACGCTGAGAACAATTCTGAACATAAATGCCAATCATAGTACTTTTTTATGAGCAATCTTATCTAAAGTGACTTAATAAAATTGATGAGGCCATTTGTAGAACAGTCGTGTGAGGTGACTGTCCCTGCGGAAGCAAGTTCTGGTTGTATAACTTTAGCCAATTGCTTCCCAAGCTCAACTCTGAAAACACATCCATTTAAAAGCACTGTTCGTTAAGCCTGGAGTTTCCCTAATAAGCAGCACATACATGAAAAACATCAAGTAAAAAAGAACACCGCGATATGGCACGTACTCACCCCCATTGATCGTAGCTGTTGATATCCCAAACCACTCCTTGTACAAAGATTTTGTGTTCATACAGTGCAATTAACAAACCAAGAGTGAATGGAGAAACTACGGGCAGTACTATTGACGTTGTAGGACGGTTTCCTTCGAATACCTGAACACTGGTTTTTCAAATCCGAAAAACTTGTCATATTTTAATTTTTTAATGACCATAACGAATTTTTCAAACAACGACAATGCAACGATTCTCGGCGAAAATTTTCAAGTGAGATCGTACCTTGTGAGGAAGAATTTTGTCTATTTTGTCAGCTGGGGTTTTTGCTGCCTTCAGCTCGGCTTCTGCTTCTTCGCGAGTCTTACCCTTCATCAACGCTTCCGTTTGCGCTAAGAAATTTGCCAGAAGAATCTAAATATCAATTTTTAAACGTCCAATGATGGTAAGCACGAATGAACTTTTACTCACGCACGAAATGAGCTAATCCGTTAAGAGCCTTAAAAACTAAATTTGCGGCACATATTCTCACCTGGATGATGTAAGCCATTACGGATGGGGTTAAGCGTTTTCGCTGGAGCTATAAAGTCGCAAGGAATCAGGCGAGTTCCCTGATGAATAAGTTGATAGAACGCATGTTGACCATTAGTCCAGGCTCGCCCCACACAATCGGTCCAGTAGAGTAGTCCACTCGGCCGCCTTCTCTTG